CAACCATGCTGATAGGAGGTAAGATGGTTTCTCTATGGTGGGTAAATTAGAGCAGTTTCATTTTGGAGGCATTAAAGTTTACAAGCCATTTCCTGCCCCAGTCACCCACAGATTGGAGGTCCTTTTTGAGACCAAAGACCAAGTTAACTTTGTCAGCAATGCTGGATTTACTATTAAGACAGGAATAAATGGTAGCATCATCTGTGTAGTGCAACTATGCTGAATGGGCCTTAGTTAAAATGTCTGGGAAAGAGTGAATCATCTGGTGTGATCTGCAATTGGAACAAGGTCAGTATTCTCAAATCCTTGGTCACAATGAATTGTGACTTAGTTCTAGCACAAACCATTGATGAACAGTTAATAATTTTTGCTCTGTCTTTTGACATAGAGCTCTCAACAGATCTATATCCTCTTGTAAATTCCATACGAATTACCAATAATTTTTATATATATATATATATATATATATATATATATATATATATATATATATATAATCTTTTCAGACATTTTTATGTTTATACATTCTTTTTATAGATACAAATATTTAAGTAAATGCTCTGTTTATAATAAACAGTATTAAACAACATTTACCAGCCTGAATGTCCGAGAAATTTTCATAGAAAATATTTGTCCTCAGGAATCGAACCTGTATCCTATACGGAACCATCATATAGCCTGACATAGCTTAACCGTTTGGGCCACAGAGGAGCGTTCAGTTAGCAAGGTTGATTTTACTGTCTTTAAACTACAATCTTCCATGATTCTCTCACGTACATTCATATCTGCTCATGGCATATCCGAATGTAAACAAATGACGTCACACATTATGAAATGGACAAAGTCCAACAATTATTTTAAGACATTTTTATGTTTATACATTCTTTTTATATATACAAATATTTAAGTATATAAATAATTAAATTGTCTTAATAATAATATATATATATATATATATATATATATATATATATATATATATATTCTTTTTTTATCCTAATTTGACAAAAACTCTTTTGAAAATGAAATAGTATTGACCTGGTTGTATAACATTCTAAAATGTAATGAAGAAGACAATATGTCAGTGTAACATACTATGATAACTTGTTTGTTCTGCAAACTTGGTGAAGATGGTTGAACTTGACAAGAAACTCCAAATGAAGATAGTTGATATGTACAAACAAGGCGATTGATATATAACATTTTCCAAGCATTTAAATGTTCCTAGATCAATAATTCCTAGGATTATCAAGAAGTACAATGAGACTCATTGTCTCGAGAATAAATAAAGGACTGGCAGTAAATGGTTAATTTCTAAGAGAATGGAAAGCAAAATTGTTAGAGATGTCTCAAAGAATCCTCACTTAATGACAAAGTATACTGTCAATGATGTAAAGACATCAGTATTGAATGTATCAACGAAGACAGTCGCTAGATGTTTTCACCAAGCAGGACTTGTCACCCAAGAAAAGCTGTCTTGTTTAAGGCTAAAGACCTAAAATTAAGATTAGCTTATGCTAGAAGCCATCTAGAACATGGGAGTAAATATTGCAATTCTGTTTTATGGTCAGATGAAACCAAACTAGAATTATTTGGTCACATGAATTCCTGTTATGTATGGAGGAAAGTGAATGAGGCTCACAAACCAAAAAATACCCTCCCTACAATTAAGCCCAGTGGTGGGATCATTCTGTTCTGGGGATGTTTTGCTGCTTCTGGACCAAGAGAACTAGTGAGAGTCCATGGATAAAGAGCATTATTTGGCTATTCTTAAAAATAATATAAAATAAAGTGCATGAAAGGTGTCTTTGGGGCATCACAGGACATTCCAATATGACAATGACCCAAAACACACAGCATGAATTGTTACAAAATATTTAGTTGATAGCAAAATTAAGGTATACCCTATACAAAGTCCTGACCTAAACCCCATTGAAAATTTATGGACACATTTGAAGAAAAAAAAGTAAGAAGTCCTTTGAATTTGGATGAACTAGAAGCTATTGCCAAGTAAGAATGGAGCAAAATACCTAACAATTTTTGGACTGATCTTGTACAGAACTATCAAAAACAATTAAAGGCAATAATCAAGAATAAAGGTTACACAATTCATTAGTAAAGGCAAGAGGGCCAATAATTTTGTCCGATGTAAAATATTTTTTACTGTTTTTTTGTATCATTATTTGACATTAAAATAAAGATTTTGATATGGGCATCACTTCATATTCTTTCAAATTCATTATTTCATCATTTGGGAAAAAATGCAAATGAAGTTTCCATGAAAATTTGAGGTATTACAGCTTTATTTGTAATTATGAAAGTGAGGTGAATAATTCTATCCACAACTGTATATATATATATACACATCCCTATTCTGTTAGTAAATGCATATTTTTTATTCCAATTCTCTGCTATCCCTGGGTATGACGATAAACTATATCCAGCAGCAAGGCCTCTGATCAGGGGATTGGAGGTTTTAAGGAGTGTGGGGCCACCTCTTAATTGCTGTTGTTCTCATGTCCATCCTGACATGGGGTGGGTAGCATCTGTTAGGATCCCAAATATGGGCAGATAGTGAAGCCTCCCTACACACAAAAATCAATAGTACCTTTTTATAATAAAATGAGCAACAGTACATTTTTTATGGCAAAATGACAATCAAGACAACATTGTCATTATTGAAGATTTAAAGACATTTTGCATCAAGATTTAAACTTTCTTTAGATTGAGGAAAACAAAAGCAGCAGGATATTTGACAATAAATCGGAAATAAAATATCTGCACCCTTCTGACTTTATTTGGAATCAATGAACGTTGTCATTATTTATTCTTTTTTCACTGGCAATTGGTGTATTTATTTGTTAAATTGAAAAGATCTAAATCTGTAAGCCTAAATAATCCATTTTGTTTTGTAAATGGAACAACACTCAGCAGATACATGTTTGAGATATTTATATTTAGTTTGTGTCTGCATATGGTGGGATATGTTTGAAAACTATGGATTAGTGGCTGGTGTAGAAAATAAATAGAACTTTGATACCCGCATGTGGAATTGCACATAACCTTTTATTTTATTTCCTAAATAACCTGAGTTTTTTTCACACTGAGGATGGCTAAAGTTAACTTTTCTCTCTGGCAGCTAAATTTCCAATAGTTTCATTATGCTGGCCAAGTGAACGACAAATGAGCATTTGTATTTCTTATCTGTTTTCTGTCTTGTTTCAGTTAATTAGCCTTTGTCAGGTGTCTGTTATATTTGGTAATTTTGATGAAAACTTTTTAGTTTACAGGTGTAACAGAATGAACAATCCGACACCTTTGGATTAAATGAAGGTTTTAGTTCAAAATTCCCAAAATGGAGGGAAGGAAGCAGAAAGGTACAACATTTAAAATACGATTATAACAGCCAAAATGACCAACATGAGTCCAAATAAACCATAAAGCCAACTGCAGCCAGGATCATAGAGCCATTTTGAATTCCACAATCCTTTCATTAGCTGTATAGAGTATGTGCTTTGCCAGGGCTTCATATGGTTTTTTGAATTCAGAGTTGTTATTCTCCTAAACTGGTTGCTAACCAAGAACCGAGTCTACTATTTATTCCATTACTGTGCAGAGAAAAGATGGATTCAATCTTTTCCCAAAGGTTCATTAGTGTATAAGTGATATTAAGTATATAAGTGACTACACTGAACTCTACTGTAATTTGAATTTGACTCTCTGATTTCTCATTCTAAGCTGCCATCTATTGCACCACCTGTACATCTTTAGGGCCAGATAAGTTATTATTATTATTAACAGTTAAAAGAAGAGCAAAATTTAAGAAAAAGAAAAGAAAAAAAAACAGTGTTTGACAATGTTAAACAATATTTCGACAGTTATATTTAAACAATTTTTCCAAGTCTAAATATAAATGAATCTATAAAAAATTCTAAGTCTTTGTACAAATGTTGCTTGTCTTGTCATGAAAAAAATAGCTGTCCTGGTAATGAATGTATCAAAACGAATGCAACACTGGCAGCATGAAGGCATGAAACTGAAATGCCCTTAATATGATGATGATCTTGTTCATCTTGGAATTTTCCATTAGTTAATTAGTTACTAAGTAGAATTAGTCAAACAGCTTTTTATAATTTTTTGTAGATTTATATATTTTTATACTTGAAAACTTTTTTTATAAATGTAACTTGAAGACGATGTTCTGTTGCACATTTGTCAAACACTGTCTTTTCCCTTTTCTTAAATCACGCTCTTCTCTTCTTAACTGTTGAAAAATATTGGAACAGTTACGTCAATGATATTTTTTCTATTATCATTTATCTTTTAAAAACTTCTGATGGAAGATAATTTATCAATCAATGTTTTGGGCCAAAAAAAAATACAATATAGATATGGACATAAAGATTTTTTTGTGTGATTATAAATGTTGTCTTTGTATTTGTTTTTTCTCTTTTCATTGTCTCGTATGATGCACATGATTTTTTTTTAAAACAAGCAACATCTGAACGAATCAAAGATAATAAAAAATAAACAGACACGCTGAGTTTTTATTTAATTCTTTTTGTTGCGCATTTCTGTTTCATTAAATAGGACACATATGTACATCTATAGAACAGCTGCACATGTATCATGTTAACAAAAAAACAAAGTATCGTGTATCATGTTGCCAAAAAACAGTATTATGTATAATGTTGCCAAAAAATGGGGAATCGTGTTGCCAAAACAGTGTGATGTATCATTACACCAAAAACAAAAACATGTATCATGAGGCAAGAAATCACAGTATGATGTATCATGACACCAAAAAACAGTATCATGTTGCCAAAAAACAATATCATGTATCATAATGCTAAAAACAGTATCATGTATCATGACACCAAAAAAAAGAATTTCATGCATCACGTTGCCCAAAAACAGTATCATGTATTATGTCATCAAAAAACAGATTAGAAAGAAAAAGTTTTCACAGAAGAAACATTTCTCAATTATTTTATTTTCAGGATATCTTTCAAAAGCGAGTGCCTTCTGCAAAAATTTCCAGTGTCATGTTGAGCGTGGCATCAATCCCATTGCCACAGCTAATGCTGTTTACAATAATTCACTGTTTCAAACTGGTTGGGATATTTTGAATATTAAGGCTGGATATGGCCAGCATCCTTCCTCAAATACAGACATCATGTTTGCAGCTGGATTCCTGGAAGGCGTTCTTACAGCCAAGTAAGTTTAGTACCTTTGTCCTTGTTATTTCTACATGTGTTTTCATTTTCCAATCTTTTTGTTTGTACATGAGGTGGGGGAAGTAATGGACACAGCCATGTTGTAATTTACTATGCATATATCAATTGAAAACTCCACCATCCATGAGTAAGTGTATCTCTGTCATTTGAAGAGGCATTCATATCTAAAGTCTGTTGTTTTTTTTTTAAAAATAATGTTTTAACCAGTTCATTCACCGGCTTTCATCAGGCATAAAATCAGTCTAGAAAAAAAGGATATCTTTTGTTAACTATGTGACGTCACCCTGGTCTCTCCCGCGCTATCCTGTGACGATCTAACCCTTGGCTGATTTGGATGGAAATCTGGTTAGATTCGGCATCAGCTTTGTCGTTCCCAGCTCGCCTCCAACGTCTGGTTACCGGTAACTGCTTTGATCTCTAGTCTAACCTACTCACGTTACTGATTTGATCTTAGGTAGACCTAAATCAATCAGGCGTCGGGCCGTGTAGTGCAAGCCGAATTCAGGGCAAAAGGTGATGCCGTACAAGTATATGTAAAAGAAAATAAAGTAACAACTTGAAAGATTCAAATGTGTTAAAAAAAAGAATAACAAGTATCTTTATATTTGGTTGCTGAATACAGGACTGCGTCTTTCTCCCAAACCGCTTCTATGGATACGTGACACTTTGCATTTCTTAGGCGAGTCTTAATATCTTAAGTTGTTTTTCAATAAACTGGTTTTTGGTATCTTCAGGTGATATTCGTAAAACTTGGTTTGGTGGTGTGAGTCTAAGTTGTTCTTCAAAAAAAAATGTTTTTGGTTAGAAGTCTAAGTCGGAATGCGTGGAAATCTTTCAGTCAGCTCTTGTGAGGCTGGTCTCCAAGCTCACAGCTCAACACTGTGATTCCAATTGTCACCAACTGTGTTGTGACTGACCCAACTGTGACTGCGTCTGCCTAACTGTGTCTGTCCAACTCTGACTGCCCAACTGTGACTGCATATGCCTCTTTGCTTTGGGGACGTTTGTTTATATGGACGCCGACCAAAACCGGGTGGGTGCCTGTCGTGGTTTGGGTTCCTCGATAATTCCAAATCCACAATAAGGATTTTCTTTGTTTTCAGACAGGAAAATTTATCACTTCCCATTTTTGGAAGTCAATTAATTTCTGTTTAATTAAGGGTTTCTTAAGGGAATTGTCCTCCCAAATTCATTCTTTTTCATATTGGTATCTCACACCAATCCCCTCAAAGGGTGTCAACAGGTTTCCCTTCTTTCTCATATGTTTACCTTTCCCCATCGCTCATGCCACCATTCAGCCAATGAACGCTTGGCAGTGTGGGTGTGGCTAGACTGGCCTCAGTTTACAATTATCACTCAAAGAAAAAAAAAAATTATCTTCCTTTTTCTCTTGTTTCTTTTCCACCAGGGTAAGGGTTCAATCCCATGTACCCCCCACAATAGTGCAACACTGTTTTTCACTTTTTTCTTTTTTATTGTAAACAATTAGTAACATAATTTTCTGGAAATATTTACTATTTTTAAAATCTTGCATGACATTTGGATACACTGGGTTATTCTCCAGTTGTTTGATGCCAGAGTAATTTTTACATGAGGCACCTACCATAGAAAAATTCTTACCCAGTTTGTCTTTCTGGTCATTGTTAATATAACAAGTATATTCTGTACTTGATGCATCCCTAATCTGCTTATTTGGTTATTAATTAATGATTAATTCAATTAATTATATCTCACATTTTTGTGTGACTAAATCTTCTTTTGATTTGCTAAAAAAAAAATAATAATATATCATCCTGCATTAATTTTTAAACGTTTCCGACTGATTTCAGAGTTTTAATTTTTTGTCGGTCACTAATATATAAAGCAGTGGTTGTAGTTTTGTTGCAAAAATATCACAGCCAGTCACTTCAGTTCGATGTCTCTGTATATGTGCCTGTGATTGCCTTTAATATGTGTTTGTTTTTTTCTTACCATCTTGGACAATGATTTGAGACAAAAGTAATGATGACCAATTTCCTTTTACTTTTCAGGAGAATCTATAATCATTACAAGAATATATACTTGGAATTACAGAGAAATTCTTACCCCAAATTGATGAAACGTTTGAATGAATTCTTTAAGAAACAAAATATCTGGATACGCAAGCAAATTGTCCGCTTTCCAAATGATCCACTGTGGCGTCATGTGAATTACGTAATAACTCAATTGGATGGACTTATGGCAGGCTATAGGTCAATCAAGTCAATAGTAAGTGCTTAAATATTTTTGAATTTCAGTTCACAAAGTTCATCATACAATTTATGTTACAATGAATTGGTTTGATTGTGGGCATGTCTGCTTTTTACTGTAATGTGGCAAAAATAACACATCATAGTGAGATTTTTGTTAGGGCATTTTAACATTATTGCATTAAGCTGAAGAATAAAAAAATTTTCTGTCTGATTTTCAATATAATAGTGTGGGATCTGCATTTGCACTCATCTACCACTTCGTCCCCAGCCCCTCAACCTCCGGCGTCTTCCTCTTTGGGTTGAGGTGTCCACTCGGTCTGAACCGAACTTAGGGGTAACTGGCCGTACGCTCCCTGAGTACCCGTAGATTATTTCAACTGGTCAACTGCTCAAGTCCTGCTTGCTGCCCACACTGTGTTAGTTTTAGATCCAGTAAGTGGGGTGTTGTCCATACGTTCACGGTCGATTAGGGGTGTGGACACGGCTGTGAGAAGGAAGTTTAGAATGTGGCAAAATAAAACAAGAAATAATATCTGCAGAAGCCAGACAACAATGGGGGGGGGAATATTGACGTCTTTTATATAAGAAGATAACATCAGAACAGAGGTTACAGGGAGAATAAAAACATTTAACATAAATGAGAAAAGAAAAAGAAAAAATGCATCCAGTGAATTCCCAACAAAGAGAGGGTTTGTGTGTGATAAACGCATAGTGAATCGCCTGGGGTAGATTTATGACTAGTAGTCCAGTCTCATACAGACTTCTCAGAACAGGGGGCAGTCTCCCTTCTCTAATTCTCCTGCAAATCTCTTGTGACTCTCTTCTGTCTGGCCTCTTCCGTCTTGCTCGACCGTCTGGCCTCTTCCGTCTTGCTCGACCGTCTGGCCTCTTCCGTCTTGCTTGACCGTCTGGCCTCTTCCGTCTCGCTCGACCGTCTGGCCTCTTCTTCAGCTTAACTATGTGTTTATATAGATAAATCTGTTTGATCATGAATCAATCCTTGGCCCGTCACGCGATTATCATGAGTGCCAAAAACTATCTCTTGACATGTAAACCGATTCTCTAACTATTTATCCTATCTCAATCACGAGTTCTTCCCAAAATTATACTTTGGGATATCTAAACATTGATTCAACCTTTTAATCAAAACAAATACTGTTAAACAAAACCAAATATCTTGTAGCCTGAGTAAGCTCTATTTCAATTTTTAACCGATAAATTTTATTTAGATCATTTTTTCATTGTTTTTTTCTAATGACCCAGATTTAAAGCATCGCCTCCTGCCTGAGATTGTGTTTCTCACCGGTAAACACACATCTTAACCCAAATTGTACTTTGATATATAAACACCATTTCGACTTCCAGTCAATAAAAGTTATATTTTCGTGTGTGCATTCATGTGTGTGTGTATCCTCTCTCTGTTACACTCAGCCTGATAATAATAAACTCTTTTTTCTATGTTCATTTATTACAAAATGAGAAATCATGTCAACAGTAAAATAGGAAAAACAAAATTGAAACATTATTGATTGCTGAATAAAATCATGAAAGCTGTGAAATAATTATTTTATAAAATAAAAAAAAATTAAAGTTCTTTTTAAATACAGGGTGTGATATGTAAATTGTTGCCATTTTATATTTTTAATTTCACGCATGCTTGTTGTTTATTTTGATTTTGTTGACTGCACAGTATAGTAGGGTCAGCTGGGCACCGTCTTTGAGAAGAAGAGTGGGTGTCAATCTGAGGAGGATTTAGATGAGACTAATGGTGATTACAAATGTGTTTGGAGTGATCACTAGTGATAGTGACATTATTCCTCCATTCATCTTCCCACAGGGCCTCAGACTCACCACTGAGGTTGACATCAAGTGCCTTGAGGAAGTAATACACTGCCCTGGGTCAAGAGGGTGGCAGCTGGAAAATCCTATGTCTGGCAACAGGACTCTGCACTATGTCACACAAGCAGGAGAATCCAGTCATGTCTCTCAGACAATTTCTGTGATCACATCACCCCTTACATTTGGCCACCTAACTCCCCTGACAGCACCCCCCTTGATTATTATGTGAGGGGAGCAGTTGAGTGAGGGACCAACAAAACTCCTTGTAAGACCAAAGATGAACTGAAGGCAAGGATTATGGCAGCCTTCACCAACTTAAACAAGGAGACAGAGAAAAGTTCCGGGAGATTTCAAAGTGGTCTGGAACGTCTGGTTGAAGCCAATGTCAATCTTACTCTTTTGTATTTCAAGATATTTTTGTGTAATTTTCATAAATATATCTGTGAAAATGAAATGTCAGCATTATTTTCATTTTGCTGTAATTTAGATGATAATTTATTCATAGCACCCTATAAATCTTTTCTATAGAAATGAAAATTTAAGTGTCAATTACAGAGTAGTCCCCCCTTATTTTATTCATTTGTTCATTTTTAAATAATCCTAAATTAAATGGCATCCATTTCTCTGTAATGGGGAAAATCAGTTAGCAACATTCCTTGTTCCGTGGTGAGATTTTACTTAATTTGAGGTAAAAAAAGGTTTCCTATTTGATTAATCATTCACTCACTCCACGCTCAACCTCATCTACTTGTATATGCAAGGGGGTGGCTGAAAAGTTGTTGAAATCAGAATTTCAATGATGAAACATCAAAATACTGGTTTTGACAAGAAATTTTCAGCTCATGTCTTGAAATGTTCATAGAAGAAAAAACTCCACCATTTTAGTCATCTATATAACATCTCTATATGTCTAGGACCGACAATGCAAGTAACAAAACTTTGTACCATTCTGGTAGAATGGAGGCAGGTATCTAAGAAAGGCTGAGGTAACATTGGCCACACATACCTGACTCATTCGTACTTGCTGAAGGATGAAGATCAACCATCATGTACAACATGCCAAACTGCACTCATGGTGAAACACATTTTAAATGAATGGACGCACTTAGCAACCCTGTAAGACAGAAATACTACAAGGAAACTAATATGATGAAACTATTAGGTTGTCCCAAAAGTTCGTAAACACTTGCAAAAAATTGAAATTTTACTCGCCAAGTAATAACAAAAACAACAAAAATTATTCCTCAAAATGAAGACCATCATTTTCCAAGACTTTCTGCCATTGATCTGCAAGCTTTCGGATCTGGTGAAAGTACCATTCAGCCGGCTTCGAATCAAAGAATTCTTGACACGCTTCCTCGACTTCATCAAACAAGTCGAATCGGCGGCCCTTCAGAAAGTGTTGTATTGAGCGGAAAAGGCAGTAATCTGATGGAGCACAGTCAAGACTGCAGGCTGGATGTGGCAGGACCTCAACGCCGTCCAGCTCTTCAAACTTGTTTTTGGTCTTGTGTGGCTTGGCATTGTCCTGCTGCATCAAAGCGTGCTTTCAGTTGATCAGAGCCGGGTACTTTTGCTTCAACTTTTCGTAGACCCGCTCCAGTTGCTGACAGTAAAGTTCGGCACTGATGGCACGACCATTCGGAACCAACTCAAAATGCACGATTCCTTCAAAGTTCCGCCAAATGCACAACATGACTTTCTTGCTGAATCGATCTTGTTTTGGAACCGACAGTGTCTCTTGCCCTTTCTGAACCCATTGCTTGTCTCGATTGTGCTGGATTGTGTTGCATAAAAATTCAATTTTTCGCAAGTGTTTACGAACTTTTGGGACAACCTAATATTTCAAAATACTGAAACTGTGAATATAATGTCTTACCTTAAAGAAGTAGTTTCATCCTAAGTCATATAATGCCTACAACTGATCATGTATGTACAATATATATCTATGAAACATACGTTTACCCTTAAAGTGGGAAATTATTTATAAAATAATGGTAGTTGAAGGCATGAAACTGTGTTCAAAATAGTTAGATTTTGGCATTGGATTGCCCATAGGGGTGTTGATATGCTGCTAAAAATCTTTTAGCCATCTACATAACATCTCTATATGTCTAGGACTGACAATACAAGTAAGAAAGCTTCGTACCATTCAGGGAGAATGGAGTCAGGTATCTAAGAAAGGCAGAGGTAACATTGGCTTTCGATTGCACATTGGACACACATACCTGATCCTTTCATAAATACTGAAGGATGAAGATCAACCAACATGTACAACATGCCAAGCTGCACCCATGGTGAAATACATTTTAACTGAATGGACTCACTTAGCCCATGTAAGACAGAAATACTACAAGGAAACCAACATGATGAAACTATTTCAAAATACTAAAACTGTCAATATAATGTCTTACCTTAAAGAAGTAGTTTCATTTCAATTCATATAATACCTAAAACTGATCATGTATGTACAATATATGTCTATGAAACAAACGTTTACTCTGAAAGTACAGAATTATGCATAAAATAACTGTAGTTGAAGCCATGAAATGGTGTTCAAAATATTTAGATTTTGGCATTAAATTACCTATAGGGGTGTTGATATGTCGTTAAACAAAATCAACCAAACTATCCCTATGTTAATTGGGACACGGACTGGGATTACATTACAATTGGTACCTGGAAGCTGACTGCATTACAATTGGTACAATGATTTTTTATTTGGTAACCTGATATGACTTCAATAATATAAATAGAAGAAAAAGATCTTGTGCAATTACTGAGTACCTGATTGGCTATAAAAAAATATATCCAAATATGAATCATTTAAATAATTCAAGTTGATTATTTAAAACTATTCATTTCTCTGTTTGTGTAAAATTCTTGTAGTAATTGTCAGAGTAACATTGAGTGGATATGAATATTAATCTCTTGTTAAGAACAAGTTTTTAAACTTTACTCTTGACAGTTTGAATGTGTGTTGTGTTGTAATTAGATATTGGCTCAGGGTGGGAAATCACAGTTTGAATTCAAATTGGGTTTATTACATTCACTTATGCATAAATACTGTTGGGAAAGGAATTAATGCGTCTCTTTCACCCCCAGCTATGGGTTAAATAGCAGGGCAGTCTGTGTTCTATCGCTTTGATTGGCAACCTGTCTACCACAGAAAGAAAC